GTTTATCGCTATTTTAAGAAAATTCTGGACGTGTCAGTTAATTTGTTGTTCTAGAATTGGTACCTCTTAGGGGTTGAAATTATCTGAATTGGAGCCACTCCCACAAAGCAAGATTTGCGACGAATACCCCTTTCAGTTTGATTGGGGGGTGCCAACTCGGTTTGAATATTCTAGCCTCTTCTAGGCTTTCAGTTAGTTTTTCTCTTGCCCTTTCCGCGCTGCTGCCCAAATGACCGAACCCTTGGAAGAGAGCTACCTGATAACTTTACCACTGCAAGTCATTCAGAGGTGTTCTTGACTTTTACCAGAATCCCTAGAGGTTAATAGGCCGTTCACTTATTTCTTAATGTAGCAATATTCAAGATCTCAATCCTGATTAAGCCAAGTAAAATTCCTTTACCGTGGCAATTAGACATTTATTACTCAGGCATTTTATTATGACGGTATCTCGGTCCCTTTCCCGTCCTGGTTTGGGTAGCGCCTGCCTTGCAGGGCAACTGATTTCCGCCTTTATCTGGTAGCTTTCCTTCGATATTTCAGGTCAAGCTACTAAAGAAATAAAATTTATCGTCAGGTCTTAAACATGCAGGGGTCGATTTGATAAGTTCCAATTTTTTATTTAAATGACACGAAGGACGACCCGCAAACACAAAAAAATACTTGAAACCTTCAGTAGAGGAGAACATGTGGTCACCTCTACCAAGATCGAAAGGGAAACTTTTCGGATAAATCTTGGCGTGCATTTGGGAAACAAAGAAGGGCTTGGAAATGTGACGAATGCGAGGCAGTCAAACTAAAAGATGTCAGGTTTCCTGTCTGTCTCTGAATTTCTCCACAAAAAAACTGATAATACTGCTGATCTTCCTATTTCAACCTACTCTGCATGTACGTTTTCTTTGATTTCATACTTCAAGGCCACAGGTTGACGACGCTATCTTAATACTGTTATAGGAGTTAACGCCCTTGTAGAACCTGACGTCACTAACAGACACATCATTGATTTTAGCGGAAGCATCAAATGCTATGTGGATCTTGGTCGTTATTTGTTAGGCCTTTAAACGCTGTGAAATGGCTTAGGTACTACGCCTGATCAGGCCTCTTATTCCTCCGTGGTACCTTGTGGATGTGATAGTTCTGCCGCTTGACCAAGCTCGGGGGATTTTTGAGGTTCTGAGAGGAGCTGATCAGCCACTGTGGGCATTTGAGGCACCAAGTCTGAGTAACAAATGAAGTTTAAGAATAAACAATCCCACTCAATGGCAAAGGTAATGCAGCCATGCTGTTGACAGCAGGAGACATTAACATAGGTAAATCTGAGGTTGAGAAAATACAGGGCCATCCTGGGGATACTGCTGCCGTGGTCATCTGAATTCTCGGAGCAGTATTTTGATGCCTCATGGTTGTCCTTCAGTGTTTCCTGGCAATCGTCGTAGGTGTATTCCTGATCATATGCAATAAGCCATTTCCGAGTTTCCTCGGAAATGGACTATTGAACGAGTTGCTGCTCTTTAATCGCAGATTGTAGCTGATTGTCCAGTGGGTGTTGATCTAGAAACGTTTAAGGTATCATTCTGACTCGGACTGTTGTTTAGGTATCCCCATACTACTCTTTGGATCTCACTGTAGTTAAGTCCTCTTTCAAACCTTCCAACTCACTAACTACATGTACTTCCCAAGTCTCGTTTAGTCGTCGACAACATTCTTGTAATGTGCTTCCAAATTTTCCAATGCACGAACTAGATCCACAAAGATAGCAGAAAGAAGACTCAAATTTTCTATCACCTACATTTATGAAAACTTTTGATTTTCACCTGCCATGGTCAGCATCAACTTCATTTTTGTTATTTTATAAGCACCTTTGTACTTCGCCTTGTCTTTCGGCCATTTCGGGTTGCGTTGTACCATTCGTATCATTCGTCATCTCTTCTTGAATAAACCTTGCTACCAAATGTACGACCTGATTGTATCACTCGGTCCATTTGGTCTATTTTTAACACTGACATGATATAGTCAACACAACATAACGGATTGACACGCTTCTACCTCAATCTGCGCATGCGCGCACTACGAGGACGATTATTTCTTTTAACCAAGAGAAAATGGTTTTTCGGCATAAACACCAGAATGTTACAAGGCAGATCTAACGAAGAGGGTAGCTCACGAAAACTGCTTCACTTGTTCAGCAACTGTTCATTTGGCGTTTTCTCTCTGATGTAGCCAGCAATCAACTCGCTAACTCGAACCCTGAGTTGTGATAGGTCAAGTCATGAATGCTTAAGAATGAATGACTGGAACACTGGAAACAATGGCTTATTTGATAGCCGAGTACATGCTTCGAACACAAGGTAGAAACTAAGAAAATGACGAGGTAAATCGAGGGTCTATGAATAGCTAACCCAAAACTAACTTATGGATTGTAGATTTTGGTACCAATCACAGCTGTGGCTGGACAAAATGCCTTTAAACCTAAACTGAACGTGAT